ATTCAAGACTGACTGAATGAATGTGTTCTATAAAAAGTGTGAAAATACGCCATCATAGATCATGAAGGACTATACTTTCTTTTGACCTGTTAGACATGTCCAGTGCTGTTAATGCAGCAAAGGGCTCTGTGTGCTTAAAAGCTCTCTATTGATTCACAAGCTTGGGCTGGATCTGAAGCGGGTTCCCCACTTTGGGAAGGCATCCTCACAAACTTTCAAGGGGTGCTGAATGCAGTTAGTTACAGGCTACGATTGGTTCGACAAGAGCTCAGTTCCCACGGTGCTGGTCTGCAGAACTCTCCTAAGAGACCCCGTGGGGGCTCTGCTCTACTCTGCCTCCTCTGCAGCTGGAATCACCTGCACTTCACAGCTGGCTGGTCTCAATCCTCCTCCCTCGCCACGGATGTTTAAGAAGCAGGAATCAAAAGATAGAAGAGGGAGGCACTCACCTTCAAGAGTGAGTGGGAAGGAGTGAATGGACCAAGGATAAAGCCAGGAATGAGATGAAGAATTCCAGGAATGACAAGTCAGAGGATCTTGTAAGCTGTGGTTGGAACCCTGAGATCAGGAAGAGCACTGACTCCTGATGTCGCTCCCTACTCTCTTGCAGACTGGCTGTGAGGACCAAATGAGGTCCTACCTGTCAAGCACCAGGGACTTTCTGAACCCTGTGGCCCAGTGGCCTCTGTCAATGCATTCTCTCTGCCATGCATCCCTCCTCCGTGCCTCCGTGCCTATGCATGACCAGGATATCCTTCTCCTTCTCCACCTGGAGAAAACGCTTGCTCCAGGAGACCAGCTCAGATGTCAGCCCATCCCTGACTACATCAGGAAGTCAGTGGCAGGGTTCCGTGCCCCATAGTATTTGTCACACTGTGTTGTGATGATCTGTTTCCACATCTGTCTCCCTCAACTGCACTGAGAGTTTCTCACTTTCACGCCTCCGTGGTCTCTTCTGATGCCAACACCTTCTTGAGGACGGGGTGCTCAGGAAATAGGTGTTGAGTAGGATGAACAAACAAATAAATAAATGTTCTTATAGCCAAAATGGAACAATGTAGGTTGGAAAATAATGCAAGTAGAAGGAAATAAGATTTCCTATAGGTTTGGGAAGAACTTTATTTTAGTGTGCAAATAATGAATATTGTAGTCTACAAATTTGAAACATATTCCATCAAGAAAGATACTTTGTCATTAGGAAAGGGGCACAAGAGAGTAGCTCCACAACATAACTTTCTCAAAACTTTCAAAGAACACTCTGCTGGACAATTGTGAAGAGCCTTTCCCTGATAGTCTGTCCCTTAGTCTCTGCCCTTTTTTGGCCATGAAAGTCCAAGGGCTTCTTTATGAACACAGTGAGACACTTATTTTTGTTTTCTTGAATTCTAGAACTATTTTCTTAAGTCACACGGGAGACAGTCCTCAGGTGTTTAAGAAAAAAGTTCCCACTCCATTTTGGAAACAAATCAGGGGACCAAAAACTTAGCTAGATCCCATGTCCAGTGAAAAGTTGAAATCAAATCACCACAACAATTCCCAAACTAACTAAATTCAAAACTAATACTCTAAAAGTAAACAGCTCCAGAGCTCAGTGGGTTGCTTATTTGCCATATTTCTCAGCTTTCAGCCATCCTTCTAGTCTCGGCTTTGTGGCCCCAGGGCCACTCACCTCCTTTGCCAGCTTGCTCCCTGTCAGCTTTGGCCAATAGGGCAGACTGATGGGAGGACCAAGGAGGGGAGAGCGACCCCGTGTGCTGACTTCCTGCCAGCGTCCCCCTGGCAACTGCTCTTCACGCTGAGAGCAACAGCTGATTCCAGTAGCTGCCCTTTGCCATTTTCCCAACACTTCCACAAGCAGCCTCATCACCCCGCCTTCAGAGACTCCAGCACCAGCGGGCAGCACCCTCTATGGAGAGTTCTGCATCCAGCTCTTGGACCAAATTCCGACTCGTGGGACACCTGTCCCACGGGGCAGCACCTCCCCCTCAGACTGTGGGCCACCTCCATCCAACCTCTTCCCTTTGCTCCTTCAGCCAGTGGGCTGGTAGCTGCTCCTTATGGCTAACATCTCCATGATCTCACATTACCACATTTTCTCCTGTTAAAATCTCCAATAACTGGGTAACAATTCCTTATACTAAATTCTCTCTGTTAAAATAACTGCTGTTGTGTCTTTCTCTTGTTTGGATCCCCTAGACTAATTCTAATAGTAAATAATTCTGAAAATAAATCTGAAAATAAAATAAGTAAAAATACAAAATAGAAAAAAATTTTTAAATGGCAAAGATGTAACTAAAAAGAAATGGAGAATAAGTTACCGAAAATAAATCAAAACTAAATATGTCCAAATCTCTGAAAATAAAAAATTCAGGAAATATAATGCTCAAAAATGCAACAGCTGAAAATAAAATAATTTAAAACCAAATAACTAATATAAATAAATGGATGTAAAAATAAACAACCCCAAATCTAAACTGAAAAAAATAAGTGTGACTATAAGTAACTCTAAAACTAACAAGGGAAAAACCTCTAAAATAACTAAAGACACTTTGTCTGGAAATAATTTTAAATAATTCTAAAACTTTCAGTAAATTATTAGCAGTCAACAAAAAACTAAAAATAATTTGAAAATTCCAATAACTAAAAAAAAGAATAACTATAAAAGTAAATAACTCAAATACTAATAATTGTAAAGATAATTAAAAATAATTCTAGAGCTAATTTGGAAATGTGTAACTTAAAATAACTGTATACAAGAAACTGAAAATGAATAACTCAAAAACTAAATAACCCTGAAAACAAAATTATAAACAGATAACTTTAAAACTATAAAATTAAATAACTAGAAAACTATAAATAAAAATAAAATTAGACGAAAAATAAAACAAAAATAAAAATAACTGAAACTAATTTAAAAACTAATAAATCTAAAAACGAACGACCTCAGACGTTAACATTTGTAACCAACCCTCTCTGAAAGGATACAATCCCGTTACAAAGTAACGCAAACACCACAGGAACATTCTTTTGGTGATTTAGGGAGAAGAACACAGGGCTGCCTCTGTAGTTTCTGCTCTTCCAAGGTTCGCAAAGGAGATTCTCAACGAATCTCCCCACTCCCATCCCAGGAAAAATCTGACAATGTCTTCAGGCATTTTTGATTGTCATAATTTGGGTGAGTGGATGGGAGAGCGGTTTTACTGGCATCTGTGGGTAGAGGCCAGGGATGCTGCCAAACACTTGACAAGGCAGTCCCCCCCCCCCCCCCCCCCCCCCCAAGAATTATCCAGCCCCCAAAGTCTAAATGCCAACGTTGAGAAACCTTGGGCAGGACCCCGCAGGACTGGGCTCCGCTAACCTCTGCAGGAGCGGCAGAGCAGCTCGGGGTGTCGCGGGCGTTTGCACGAAATCCCGGCACTCGAGTAAGCCGATGTGGAGCAGCCCCGAAGTTCGCGGACGTCTTCAGCTAGTCCCGGCGCCCGCGCAGGCGCGTGTGAAGCAGCCCCGAGGTTCGCGGATTTCTGCAAGGAGTCCCGACGCTCGCGCAGGCGCCTGGGGAGCAGTCCTGAGGTTCGCGGGTGTCTGCACGAAGTCCAGGCGTTCGCGCAGGCGCGTGGGGAGCAGCCCCGAGGTTCGCGAGTGTCTGCACCGAGTCCCGGCACTCGCGCAGGCGCGTGTGGGGCAGCCCCGAGGTTCGCGGGCGTCTGAGCCGAGTCCCCAGGGCTAACGCTGACGCGTGTGGCGCAGCTCCCAGGTTCTCAGCGGCCCTCGCCGGGAGGGTGGCCTCCGCGGGCAGGCCGTGGGCCCTTCCTCAGGCTTCTGGAAGGCGGTCCTATCTCACCCCACCCCCAACCCCCAGCGGCAGATCCGCAGGGTCCGAGGCGGCCCCTTGGCTGCTTTCCCGCTGGAGGGTGGGCCGGGCCCTCGGCGTCCGCAGCAGGCCGGGCCCGGAATGGAGGCGGCGTGGGGCGGCCCGGCCGAGCGGGGGAGCCGCGGTGTTCTAGAACCGGTGTCAGTTCTCGGGGGAGGGGGTGCGCCGGCATCCTTCCCTCGCCCGCTCTGCTTTCGCCCCGGAAACTAGTCGCGTCCCCCGCAGGGCCGAGCAAGGCAGCGGGCACCGCAGCGCTCTCCTTAGTTGTGTTTGTTGGCCTAAAATTCCAAGAAGAAAGTCAGAGGAGCAACGGCTAACAGATTCGCTGTTTGTTCTTTCTCTTTCACACTCAAACGTCTTCATCGCCGCTTTCCTTTTTCCCTTGGACGCTTTCTCCCGTTTCCAGGACAGATTTGGAGGAACACGTTTCATAACTGTCGTCCAACTGGAAGAGTCCGGACAGCTGGAAGGGAGGGGACAGTGGTGAACCCTCAGAGTTAGCAGGGCCGAGGAGTGCCCAAGCCCAAGCCAGGCGCGACCTGTGATTCCCGCCGGCGCCGGCGGGTTGGGGCCCACCCTAGTTCTCCCAAGGGGTCACTGGGGTCCCGGCAGGAGCCCCACATTTATGATCAGAAGCCAGAGCAATGCGAAGGAGATGGGGATGAGGGACATGCCAGGCCGGGAGGGTCTGAGACACTTCGCAGAGCCAGTGACCCCAGCTTCCTGGGTTAGGCCTGGTCCTTATGGGTAGGCGTCACGAAAAGGGGAGGGACATGGAAGGGGGAGAGAAAGAGGAGGCAGGAGAAGCTGATGAAATCGAATTGAGGGAGAAAATGAAGGAGATAAGAAGGAAATAAATTACACTCAGAGCACTGTTCTCCTTTTCCATATCTTCTGCACCTCCGGGATGGCCAAAGGTTTCCATGGAGGTAAACTCCTTGCTGGAGCAGCCTTGGGGAAAGAAAGGAAGAATTTGACCTGCTGTGCAGGAGAGGGCCTGGGAGGATTGGTTCTGCTGCCAGTGGCCAGATGTCCTAGGAGGCAGTGCCTGTCCCCATGAACCTCTTCTCCCCATCTCTAACTCCTGCTCTCCCAGGACCTGGATGGCTTCACCTGGGTGGGAGGTGGAGGTCTGTCCTCTTAAGGTTCTCTTTTCCAGCTCAAATTTGTAACCATGACCCCGAGAAGATCTGTCTACATGGTGTTCATAGCCCTACTCCTGGTCCTCCGAGAAAACGGTCAGTCTTTTTGTGCTTGACAACCTTCCTGTCCTCCACCCTTCTTCCCTCTCTTCTTTTCCCCCTTTTCTCGCTCCTGATTCCTATTTCTTTGGTAGCCTCTGTCACTGCTCTCCCCATGGGAAATCAGAGGAGTGAGTACATCCTGCCTCTCTCTTCCAATGAGCTGATAAACCGATTAGTCACCACTGTGCACCTGCCATGAGCCTGGGGCTAAGACACTGAGGGGAACAGCAATCTCCACCAAACACTGAACCCTACTCTGTGCCTGCTGGGATGCCAGTTTGTCAAAAGTTAAGCTTCACATGGCCCTCTAAGGGCCTTAGCTCCATTTTACAGATGAGAAACTGGGATGAGAGAGGAATAATCACTTGGCCATGTTCCCTCGGCTGCAAGCGCTGCAGCTGGGTTCTACAAGTCTTGTCTTTACCTCTCACTGAGCTTCAACAGAATAATCAATCTTGCAGGAATCTGAGTGCAGGACCAAGTCTCTGTTTGGTGACAACTCAAGGGCAGGGGTTAGGGTATGGCCTTGAAGGGCGTGGACAGGGCATGGGGGGTGAGGGCATTCTGGACACAGGAAATGAGAAGAGGGAGCGGAAGGAGTCTACAGTTGGAGTTAGTGGCACAGTTCTGTCAGCAAGCAGGAAGTGTGCAAGTGGGAGCTCCCTGACCTGCTGCCCAGAGGACCCCCAAGCTGCATTCTGGGGCCTAGGGTTCTCCCCAGGGCAGAAGTGGGGGGGGGGCGTGCCAGCCAAACTGGGAGCAACCAGGCAGCCCTTTCCTGGAGGCCTCCAGGAACCCTGCCTGGTGCCGGAGGGTTTTGAGGCAGCTGGACACAGTGTTCTCAGATTGCAGCAAACTTGCTTTAAGTTCCAGTCCCCAGAAGTGGTGGGGTGAGGGGTAGAGGGCAGAGGAGAAACTGGCTCCCACCGCCCTCCTCCAGATGTGACTCAGGGACATCTGCAGTAACGCCCAGAGACTCCTCTTTAGGGTAGTCATCCAACACGATCCCCTGATGCCCAGAGCAGGCAGTGAGGACAAGGAATGGCAGTCTTGCTGAAAGGCTGTAAGGGAGGAATGGAGAAGACTCGCCCTTGACCACCTACCATGGGAACAGAAGGGTTGAGTCTCCAGGGGCTGTGGCCTCAGTGTCCCAGACAAAGCCAGGCCGGCAGGGCTGGGGTGGGGTGAAGGGTAGTGGCCAGGGACCCCAGAGCCACCCACTGGGAGGCCAGGGGTGAGGCTGGGCTCTGAGGCCTCCGGCAGCCATGGAGCACTCAGGGCCTGGGGCTGGCAGGGCTGGGGGACAACGCAGGAACTGGGAGACCAGCCAGTTCCAGCCACTCCACAGTAAGTGGCACCTGGGGTAAAGTGATGACCAGGCACTGGTGGCTGCTTTCCTCTCCCTCCTGGGGGCCCTGCCGCAGGGGGACGGGGTCTTCAGCCTGGCGCAGGGCTGGCACAGAGGACCTCTCACACACTTGGCCACACATTGACTGCATTATTTCAGGGTCGTCTGGGCCATTTCCTGCCTCCAGGAAGGATCTGTCTGAGCCTGGAAAGAGAATCGACCCTCCCAGCGCTGACAATATCCAGATACCCCCTCCCTGCTGGGGACTGTCAGCACACAGGGTACCCCAGGTGAGGGTGGAGGACACCGTCAGTTTAGTCCAGAGTTTTCCATACTCCTTAGAGATGCCAACATTGCGTCCACACAGACTACATTTCTAAGAGGAAAACTGTGGAACAATATTACCCTTACAGGTATGATGTCCTCATCTGATCTATTCTATGCTATTATTCTATTCTACTTTATTCTGTTGTGTTCTATTCTATCCCATTCTATTCTGGGACACAGAGGAGGAGAGGGGCTGTGGAGGTGGTTGGGTCACAACAATCCCCTCACAACAAGACCCTTCGAGGGACAGTTTCTTCTGACACAGCCCGCAGCTGCTCTGGGTGAGCCCTCACTCATCTCCCCCTTGGGCCCTGGGGCCTGTGGCAGCAGTGACTATACCCTATTCGCCCAGCATCCCCCGCGGCTCCTGGAAGGAGCTCAGAATTCTCAGGACCCGCAAGCCTTGGAGAACGTCCTTCAGTCAAAGCTGGAAATGTGGGGGCCGAAAGTGCAGGTCACAGGATGAGTTTTGCTATATCTTTGTCATTCGCGTATTTAATCCCTTCCTCCTGGATCCACTGGCCATGGACTCCTAGGGGTCTTAGGTACTATAGCGGTGACAGCACTATGGAGACCCCAGAATCTTGGGCTCAGGGTCTGGCAGGTCATATGAGTGAATAAAGGAAAGACCCTCTGCCCAGTGGCAGGAGCAGGGGCTTTGGAGTCAGTGAGACCGAGTGCAGTTCTGACTTTGCCACCCACTCACTAGCTGTGTGATCTGGGGTAAGTCACTTAACCTCTCTGAGCATCTTGTCTGTAAAAATGGAGATAATAATATCTATCACAGCTTTGATATAAGGATTAGCACAAAGGTTTATAAAGTAAAATGTCTGGTACCTCTTAGGAATTTAATAAATAACACCTGTTATGATTACTGTTAATAGTGATTACAATAATACCAAAGAGAAGGTCTCAGAACAGCTCTTGGTACTCCAAGTATGCTATTACTACTCCTGTTTGGGGGAGATTTGTTTGCTATTGTCTTCACCCTCATAAATATCTGGGGGAAGAAACAAATTATAGAGGTAATAAATGGCTTTAAAAGGAAACACAGAGTACACACACACACACACACACACACACACACACACACATGAAAACCCAAACCAAACACACAGGCCCTTGAAAAATACTCAATTTGATATCAGCAAAATTTTAAGTGACAGTTGCATTCTTGAAAAATGAGCAGAATGGCTCTGGTACCAGTCAAGTTCTAGTTATGTGTTGAGAAGACACTTTGAGTCTCTGTGGTTCTCCTGGTCCACATACCAGAATAAGCATAAAGAGTGTCGGCAGAGACAGAGAGATACGAAGAATGGGGAAGGTGGGCTGTAAAAATCCATGCTAGTAAGGACTGGTGTGTATTCTGTTTTCCTTCAGTGGATGATTTTTCTAGCATACATCACATATCCTAACTGGTTTTGGGAATTTAGTTTTAGCACTTAGTGTTTAGACTTCTGATCTTTTATTTTGGTTTAAAAATGGAATGAAATTTATGTATGTATGTATGTATTGGGGGGGAGGGGCAGAGGCAGAGGTGAGAGGGACAATCCTAAGCAGGCTCCATGGGCAGCGTGGAGCCCAGCATGAAGCCTAACGCAGGGCTCGAACCCACCAATGTGAGATGATGTACAAACTGAAATCAAGCTGGGTGCTTAACCAACTGAGCCACTGAGGCACACCCTAAAAATGGAATGAAATTTATTAACAAGTGAATCTATTGGTGAGTTGAAATTATCCTCTTCAATATACATGTTTTTGGTAAATTACAAATTTGGAAGATAAAATCACGCCTTTCCCCTTTCTGTCCACTGGATGGCACGATGGGACCATTGTAGGTCCCACTAGTTCAGAGGCAGCTCTTACCCATTGATTTCAAATGGGCAAACTATTTTTATTTTGTTTCAAACTAGATTTTTCCCTATCCCTTACAATTATGCAAAAACTTTTTAAGGACCACCTCTATCATGTGAACTAAAGTACATCATTTTTACCTGGGGGCACAAAGAAGTAAAGTAATTCATCCAAAGACATAGAGCTGGGTTTGAGCTGTGAGCCCTTAACCATTGTGCTGTGCTGCTAAGCTCCTTCTCTGCCTTCTGGGAGTTAACCCATGGGGTCACTTTATGCCTAAACCATCCCAGTTGCTCTCCACAGCTCACAACAGAAGAGATCTCCAGGTTGTTTCCACAGGTACTAGGCTGGATTAGGATCTTTCTGCTTGGTGGCCCAGAGTGTAAATTATGTAAACATTGAAGTTGGTCTGTATCTGAAGTGCCCATTTCCTTTGCAAATCTGCCTTTGGCCAAGAGGAAGGAAATCACTGCTATGCATTCAATTAATTACTTTCAGGCTGCACACATTCTCAAAGCACCTTTTTTTTGTTTTGTTTTGTTTTAAAAGTGTGTTTTCTGTTGTCAGAATCCTTGCCAACTTCTAGGGCAGTCTGAGCTTGTTGTCTTGGGACTTTCAGAGCTGCTAGGAGCTGGGGTCAAAGACACTTCAGGACAAGGAAACAACCCCCAGCTCAGCAATCAGCTGCCATCAGATGTTCTGGGTTGGAACAGGCCCACAGGTGGGTGGTAGGAGGAGCTGATGTGTCTAGTTGGGTTTTGTCAAGGCTTATCCATTACACCAAAAATTTAATAGGAATTTTTCAAGAAGACGGAAATATAAAGACCGCTAATCTGTGTAGTATGGCTCCAATTTTTTTAAATATGCATTTCTATAGACAAAAAGTTTAGAGTAAAATATTTACAGTGGTTATATCCAGTTATGTGTGATTTGCATTTTGTACTTTTCTGCATTACATTCTAAATTTTGTTTAATATACATATGTATTATTTTTATAATCAGAAAATGAAACTTGTAATACTTACCTTTAAGAAGTGTTTATTTTTGAGAGAGAGAGAGAGAGAGTGAGCATGAGTGGGGGGGGGGGTGGTGCCAAAGAGAGGGGGACAGAGGACCTGAAGCAGGCTTTGCACTGACAGCAGTGAGCCTGATGCTGGGTTCAAACTTGTGAACTGTGA